AGAATCCCTGCGGGTAAGAAAGGGTTAACCTTCAGTATATTTTATTCTTTTTTTCTTGAAATTTCTTCTTCTGAATAGCTTATTGAATTTAGACATAAGTGTAAGATGGGAGCAATGATACTCCATAAAGACACGTAGCTAAAGCTATTGGTATCTGGGTAGAATGACTGATCACATGCAGTATTACTTGGGAAGGGTACTTTGTAAAGGAAATGAAGTCTTAATGTGCAAGTTTAGCATTTAATTACTACTTTTTTCTTTTCTTTTTTTTTTTTTTGTGTGGCTTATTATGTGTTAATACAAGATGTCCTGATTTGAGCTAAACAGAACCAATTCTGTTTAATGACTTTACTTTTCTGCTCAGCCTCCTGGAGAGGGCTGCACTTTCTGAAGTTAACAGCGTGTTTTTGCAGACAGTATCTGCTACCAGAAGTGTTAACACCTGATCTTTATAGTTACTGTCAGGGGGTTGGGATGCAGAAAAGCTTGTGCTTATACTTATGCCTATAGTGACCAAAATGACTGTTGGATCTTGTGTAACACACTGGGGATGCTGGGAAGTAAGAGGGATCACAAGGAAGTAAAAGATTATGCCTCCAGTGAGTAACAGATAGGACAAGTGACCAACAAGAGTATTCAGTCTCATATGTGTTGTATTCAGGATAAAACTGAGGGATCAAAGGGGTTAAGGTCCCTTCTTCAGTGGCTGGGGGGCGGGGGGGGGGTGGCTAGCATCTGAGGAGGACTTTTTTCAATCTTCTGCCTTTGATCCTGATCCGGAGTTCCCAAATCCAGCTCCTGTATCCAGCTCCCCTCTGCTCCTGAGCCTGGGACTTCCCTGGTGCCACCTGCTCGGCAGCATCAGTGGAGATTGCTATCAGGGAGGGAGTCAGGTTCGATACCAGTTTTGTGTTTATATATATGTATATAGTTCTCTTTTTAATTTACTGTTCTATTAAAACTATTTAGTTTTCTTTTCTGATCCTTAAGTCTCTGCCTCATTCCCCCTCCCTTCCTCTTTGGCTTAGAGAGCATCTGTCAGTGTTCAATGACCAGCCCAGCCCTAACCTTCGACACAGTATAAGAACTCGATAGTAATACCTTTGCCCATCTGAACATGTTAATGAGTGAAATATACTCAATTGAGAGTTACTTGAGAAATATTTTTTCCAGTTCCAAGTGCTCCAGGAATTTAGTTAGAATTGTAATGAGAACTTCCTACTGGTCTAGCATATTCCAAACAAAATCCGAGATTCCTTCTCCCCCTTTTCCTTTTTTAATTCCACTCACTGTCCTGTTGTCATCACAGAAAGCATAAGACCACTGCAGCCGAGGAACGGTCCTCACGTTCCTGACCAAGTTGCAGTTTCTGCCCCTTTTTTTGAGGTGCTATACCCTCCAAGTTCTCAATGTCAGCTACTTATTCAGGCAATCCTGGCTACTGTCATTGAGAGGCATTTGAAGGAACTCATTCCTGGAATTCAGGTCTTTGGTGATAAACTTACTGCCAAAGCAGGTTCACCTAAAGTAGGACACACAGGAACGTGCCTGGGTGAATTTTGAATGTCTCTAGAAAAGGAGACTTCACAACCTCCCTGGACAGTCTGTTCAGTGCTCTGTCACCCTCAGTTTTTTATTGACCAGAGGCACACTCCTTGGATCAGTCTTGCTTAATCTAGTGTCCCATGTGCTACCTCATCCTGCCCAGTTGGTCATAGAATCATAAAGGTTGGAAAAGACCTCTAAAATTATCAAGTCCAATTGTGAACACAACACTACCACAACTACCAAACCATTTCCTGAAGTGCCACCTCTACATGGTTTTTGAACACCTCCAAGGATGGTGACTGCACCACTTCCCTGGGCAGCCTGTTCCAATGCCTCACCACTCCTTCAGTAAAGAAATGCTTCCTTATCATCCAATCTAAACCTCTCCTGGTGCAACTTGAGGCCATTTCCTCCCATCTTATTGCTTGTTACTTGGGAGAAGAGACCAACCTCCACCTCCCTACATCCTCCTTCCAGGTACTTGTAGAGAGTAATGAGGTCTGCCCTCAGCCTCCTGTTCTCCAGACTAAACACTCCCAGCTCCCTCAGCCATAAGACTTGTTCTCTAGACACTTTACCAGCTTTGTTACCTTTTTCTGGACCTGCTCCAGCACCTCAGTGTCCACCTTGTACTGAATGGCCCAAAACTGTACTCAAGTCCCCAAGATTCCTTCAGAAGCGGACTGACAAGATGATGCTCTCTTCCAGGACTGGATTCAGTGTTGCAAGTCTTTAATAGTATCTGCAATTTTGAGGACTCTGTGGAGAGACAAATGGACAGTTTAGTGTCTTATTCTATGCTGTTCTCTTGTCAGATGCTTGGGATTTGAATTAAAGAACTGGGATATGGAATAAGCACTGTGAGCTTCTGACTAGAAGTGAGCCACAGGCTTTATGACAAATCTATATCAAGTGAATTAGTATATTTCTGTCCTCAGGCTTTAGGTGTCTAATTTTATACTCATTATATGTTTGTGAAGAACATTTCCAAGCCCAAATGGTCTGAATAGTTGCTTGGAAGAAGCTTAACCCTTTCTGCTTGCAGTACAATAAGGGTTAGATATCTAAAAGTTGCAATGTGAATATCTCTTTATGTTTTTTTCATTCTTCAGGTTAGATAGCACATTAAGAGTTCTGTATAACAGAATTACTACATTTAAGTGTATTCTTATTTTATTTGTTAAAACTTTGTATTAAAACCGGTTTATATAATAAACTTAATACAATTTGGAGTGCTCGACCTTTTTTTTCCTTATTTGGGCAGATTTCTTGGACTAAAGGTCTTTGCTTGCATGGTTGATTTCAGAAGGTTTTTGCCTGCTGGTGATGTTAGTGACCATAAGAAGATACAATTAAAAAACCCAAAACCTTGGTATTAAGAGTTATTTTTTTGTCCTTAGGAAATTAACTATAAGCATGTTAAAATTGTAAGATTAACCTTGCTTTTTCAACAATTCCTTAATGCATTTTTCCTGTTATTTAGTTGCAGTCGGATCTTCACTGATGTTTTAGTATTGCGCACATGTATCGAGTAACTTTCTTCTCTTGCATACTTTAGTGTTTTGTTTGTTGTGTTTTGTCCGTTGTAGCTGTTTGCTATTTGGATGTGTACTGCATGCTCTATTCCTTGAACTAACATGAGGTACAGGTTTGTAATCCGTGCTGATTCAAATATTTTCTCCAAGTGATTTTTAGATCCCTCAAAAAATATTTATAATGTAAGGAAGCTGGCCTTGAAGTTCTATTAGTAAAATTTTTTGGCGAACAGAGGGTAATACGTATCTTGATCTGTTTGTATATTGTATGGTATTTAAAATAATCAGTTAGTGAAAATATGGGGAAGTGCTGATGTGCTGAAAAAGGGAATCAAATCTCTGAATAAATCTTAACCCTTTCTTAACACATCTAGCCATCATGGGGATCTTAAATTGTGTATGAAATAGCCAAACCCGTGTATTGCAGGGGGGTCAGGAAGGCATTAAAGTTTTTGTTGGATTTTTTTCCCCCTCCCTCAGTGAAGCCCTTCTCTGTTCATCTTTACTTGATGTAAAGGAACTCTGACTGTTTATTGACCCCCAAAAGTTCCCCTAATTCCCAGACCAGTGCAAGAAGTTTGAGATGCTTAAAAAGATTTTTTATTTTTTATTTGTAAATTAAACTGACAGTCCTAAAAGTCTAAAGGAATGATTGCTGTCCTTGGACAGCAAGTCAGAAGGAACAATGAAATATAAATCATGCATCTAGAAAAACTTCATCTGTGATGTTCTTTTTAGATCTTTATAACCAACCTTTTTATTAAAATCCTAAGAACTCATTAATAGATAATGAAAACAAACACTGCCCATAGTTTAGAGATCAAATTCTAAAGCTTTATGTCTTCTGATACATGGAGACTGTTTACTGGGTGAGGTAGGGTGATGCTGCCTCAGTGTTTTTGACTTTTTTTATTGTTTAGTTCCTAATGGCAAGCTGTGTTAACAGAAGCATGGCAGGTTGTGGTTTGTGGTTCTGATTAAACAGCGTCTGTATTCAAGCTAACACTCAATTCAGCAGACTTAGACTTTGCTCAGAAACTGCCAATTCATTTGTACAAAGGTTTGAAATTACAAGTGAATGCTAAAACACTCTAATCTATATGACTGTGAGTAATTAGCTTTGTTTCACAGCCGGGAAGTGATGTGTCTACAGCCTTCTCTGTTACAATGTCTGTAATATTTAATGATCTTCTGCAGTTTGGTTAACATCTCATTTCAAGGTTCAGAATGTCCAGTTTGAAATCTGAAGTGCAATGTTTCAGCATTTTAAATCCGTTTAGCTGTACTCTATTCTGTGCAGTGCATCACAGAATCACAGAGAATCACAGGTTGTCAGGAGTTGGAACGGACCGCGAAAGATCATTGATCCAACCCTCCTGCCAGAGCAGGATCACCTAGAGTAGGCCACAACACTTGGTTTTTTCCAGTCTCATTTTAGTAAAAGTGTGTTACATGGAGAATATACTCTTTAATATTTTTTAATATGTATCTTTGTCATTTCTATTTGTGATTAACTAAAAGGAAGGATTTCCTTGCTATTTTTAAATCATTAAAACAATTTATGAAAAAGAATTAGTGTTTTAATTTGGGGAGGGAAAGAACATAGAAAAACTTGCCTGTGTAACAACTATGTGGGTGTGTGGTATCTCCTAATAACAGACATTGGGAAAATGGGTAATGAAGCAGGGCCCTAGTGATAAAGATTCAGAATAATTACACTTCCTTTAACAAAGAATACTTAATATGCCCTCTACACTGTTCATACTTTCAGGAGGCTCTAACTATCCAGTTCTCTGAATCACAGAATGGTTAAGGTTGGAAGGGACCTTGAACATCCAACCACCCTGCTGTGGGCAGGGACACCTCCCTCCCAATAGTCCAAGTTGCTCAAGGCCCCATCCAACCTGACGTTGAACACTTCCAGGGATGGGGCATCCACAGCCTCTTTGGACACCCATTCCTTAACCATCAAGTGATCCATCCATCAAACCCATGTCCCTCCAGTTTAGAAACCAGGATGTCATGCAGGACAGTGTCAAATGCTTTGCACAAATCCAGGTAAATGACATCGGTTGCACTTCCCTTAGCCACTGATGCTGTAACACCATCGTAGAAGGCCACCAAGTCTGTCAGACACAATTTGCTTTTGGTGAAGCCATGTTGGCTGCCACCAGTCACCTCCTCTATATCCACGTGCTCCAGCAGCTTTTCCAGGAGGATCTGCTCCATTATCTTGACAAACACAGAGATGAGAATGACAGGCCTATAATTCCCTGGATCTTCTTTTTCCCCTTTTTGAAGATGGGGGTTATGCTTTAGTGGGAACCTCTCTAGACTGCCACACTTTCTCTGATGTGATGAAAACTGGCTTAGTAACTTCATCTGCCAGTTCTTTCAGGACCCACAGATGGCTCTTGTCAGGTCCTGTGGACTTGTGCACCTTCAGGTTCTTTAGATGGTTCCGAACTTGGTCTTCACTCACAGTGGGGGATTCTTCAGTACCCCAGTCCCTGTCTGTCCTCTCTGCAACTGATGCAGTGTGACTGGAGCCCTTGCCAGTGAAGACTGAGGCAAAAAAGTCATTGAGAACCTCAGACTTTTCAATATCCTGCGTGGCCAGCTCAGCTGTTTCCTTCTGGAGTGGTCCTACATTTTCTCTTGTCCTCCTTTTGTCGCTAACGTATCTACAGAAGCCCTTCTTATTGTCCTTAGCCCTAGCCAGATTTAATTCCTACAGGGCTTTAGTTGTCCGAACCTGATCCCTGGCTACTTGATCAACTCTGCAATCCTTCCAGATTGCTTGTCCTCTCTTCCATGTCCTGTAGGCTGCTTTTTTGTGTTTGAGAGTGTCCAGGAGCAACTTGTGCATCCATGTCAGCCACCTAGTTTTTTTACCAGACTTCCTCTTTGTTGGAATGCATAGCTCTTGGGCTTGAAGAAGGTGATCCTTGAATATTAACCAGAGATAAGGGCTTTCTTCTAGCTGGAAGATTTCAGACATTCAGCTACCTACATATGGTGATGCCACCACTGTTGAAGTGGACTAGCCTTATGCAAGACACCTGTTGTGCTGGAGTGCAGTTGGAAGCCAAGGAAAGTAATCTGCAGGGCTTGAACACTGGTGGTTGGTGTCCTTTTAGGTAATGGAGTTACTCTCCTTAGGTTGAGTTTCAATTTGAAGTTGATACTCAAATTTTTATGCTTGTATTTAGGTGTCTGCAGGTGAGATGGGCACCTAAACTCATGTTGTAGCCGGAGAGGCATATGGTCAATAAGGTCATCAGAGCGCACAGATCTCGTGTTGCATCTTACTGCCTTGTTTCCTAAGGCCCTTCAAATGGGGCCTGTGTGTGAGCACCTTGAATGTAGCTTGAGCTGCCCTCAGCATTCCTGGTAAGATCTGCTTGACCAAAGCTTCTCCTTAGAAGCTTTCACTTAGTCTGCACTGTTACGTGTACACATGTAGCTGCTTCTAAGTGT